AGGATCTACAAAGCGAAAGTATGTTCGAAGTCCATTAAACAAAAAGTGGAATTGCTGCAAAAAATGGATAAGAATATGGATTGTTTATCTAACCATTCTGAAATCTGTTTATCAATTTCACGTTGCTCTGCGGTGTGGGGGGGGAATGTCGCGGCGCACAATGAACTGGAAGTTGATCTGTCAGCACTATCCTTATCTTCAGGGCAGATGTTTTTATTTTATTTGGCTTATAATTCCTTACTAAATGTAGTATTTCATCTCGATGTACTCCGTCTTTGATATGATTTAAATCAAATTCCTCGTCATTATAATTCGCTTCCGATCTTCGAAAACGAAAGAATTTCGATTGACAAATTAGTCGGTATTCTCGACACAGCAATTATAGGACTTGAACAGCGGAACTTTGTAACTGAAGAAGAAATTATGTCTGTTTATAGAATTAAAGAGAAAGTATTATCACATAAAATGAAGCAACTTAAACAACTTACATTGAAAGGAATGTTTAATAAAGTAAACAAATAAATATTAATCTTTATTTTTTTGTAAATTTTGATACCCTTTAGATCATAATTGTTTTTTATTTCATAAATCACGGTTTCATATTTTTAATTTTATAATTTCTGCATGCCATCTTACCAGATTTAAACTGATGATGTATAATCTGGAAAAATCGATAATCCGGAATCGCCGAAGTCCTAACGAGTCCGAATTAACGACTTTTGACTGTATATGGAAAATCAGAAACTATTTGTATATATAGTACAGAATCCGAGATCTGGAATTTTTGGGACTTCAGCAATTCTAGAAATTTTGAATTTTTAGATCATCAGTTTAAATTTAATTAAATGACATGTAGACATGGCAACATTGAGACTTTGCTCCCAACGCAGCCATGGTGGCTGCACTGGGTATCAAAATTTAGAGATGGCAAAAATTTTACAGTTTATGTGAGCCATTGGGGCAGCAAATTTTTAGAAATTAGGGGGTTAACAGGTAACAGAATTTAATTCCCACAGAGGGTACATTTGGCAGCAAAATGCACAGTGCCAGCCCCTCCCTGAACCTTTCCAGGTCCGAAAGGGTGGTCCTGGCCTATATTTAATGTATAGTGTATTCTTGATTGTCTCATGCAGGTTATCCATGGCCATGCAAACACAAACACAATGCTAAAGAATGTATATTGCCTGCTCAACAGTCATTCACTTATGCATTTTTTTTTTTTTTTTTTAAATTGTATGGATTAATTGTAATTTGCTAAATTGGTGAATTTATTTTCATGGATTGGTTTTGCACTTGAATTGCTTATGCTTCTGAATTTAAATGATATTGTAGATTAGTTCGAGAATTAAATCTTTTATATGTTTACACATTTTTATATATATATATATATATATATATTTTTTTTTTGGCTTTAAATTTGCTTTTTTTAATTTCGGCTTTAAATTTGCTTTTTTACTTTTATACATGTTTGTTAAAATTTAAATTTAATTTGTTTAAATTTAAATTTCATAAAAATTGATATAATATCTCTAAATATCATAAAAATTGATAGTTAGGATGTTTTTCTGGCATTAACCCTGATAGTGGAGAGTATGCTGTAATTTCCACCAATGTATTGTTATTGGCGGCAGCTTGGCTCCCTAGCCAGAAGGTGTTTTAAAGTGGCATACAGGAATCTCAATTAGTTGGGAAGAGAAAAATGTCATTTATGGTACACATGCTTCCTTTTGTAAAGTATTATATTCTCCATTCCTGAATTTCATAAAAAAAAGGGAGGGATTTTATTATTATTATTTGTTTTCTGCCTAGTGGTCCAGGATATTGGAATTTGTACTCTGTGCATATATCTATAATAATTAAGGATGCTATAAAGGACACATCAAACCATGTAATTTTTAATCATGGCCCATGGTTGACATATGTGTAGATGGAGCTGGCCTGGGGAATTACAAAACATGCAGATAAACCTAGCCGTAGGTTCAACACAATTATTTGTGGGCAAAATAATTCTTGAGATGCATATTCTGATTCAGACATCATCATGGGCTCTATGTACACTCAATTGTCCTCACATCTTTTGAAGTTCACCACATTGTGAAGACAAATATAACAGATGATTGAGAGAAATGATTCACCATGTGTTAGCTGTTAGCAAGCAAGTGAAAATGTGCAGTCCATTCAGAAAGCATGAAAGAGTTTTGGTTTTGAAAAAATTTTGATTTTATTTGAAATCTTATTCACTAATTGTCTAAAATATATGTGCATTATAGCTTTAAGTATGATCATATGATATAAAATCGATTTGAAATGGCACAGTTTAGATTATTATATATAAACAGCTACTAATTTTAAGACAGGAAAGGGATACTCTCAAATTAAAATGAAGAATATTGCCAGTTAAAATTTAATGTTTGCTTTAATATTTTTTATCTTACATTTCTTTCTCTGTATCTATATGTAAAATATAAGATAGTCAAAATTATTAACTTTAATTTGCCAATGGTTTTTTTTTTTATTCTTTATTTAAATTTTGTTGTCTCTTCTTTGTAATCTAAAAATAGCATTTGCTTTATTAACTTTCTGGGTTGTCTCTTTTCGTTTCATGCTTGCTTACGTAATCTTCCTGCATTGAAATAGCCTCTATTCAGTTGCAGATTCGGAAGTTAAAGAAATCAAGTCTATAAATACCACTGCTACTAATGTGCAGCCCCTTTTTTCCATGCTTAGCTTGTTGCCAGCAATGTGTGCTTCTGTCTCTGCATTATCCATTGTTTCAAGATATGTAAGAAATACAAAATTGTCAGGTGCATCACGCACCCAAAATAAATGGGATTGAGATTGTGTAAAGAAGAATTAAGTGTCGAGAAATAAATTGTGACTTGTTATATGCAGCCGTAACTGCTATTTTTTCCTCATTATGCATCTCAGGTATGCACTGTTCTATCTTTCTATCTATGTGCCGTAAAGAATCAGTATTTACAGCAATTATTATGCACACAAATATATGTGTGCGTGTATCTATATATATTAAAACTTCAAAGTAAAAAAGGTAAAAATGGACCTTCAAACCTAAAAATCTAGTGCTAATATAGCTAAGAATAATTAAATTATAAATAGAGATTATGCCTTTGCAAAAGGAAGAGTACAAAGTCCGTAATCCATACTCGTCAGGACTTCGGCGATTCCGGATTAGGGGTTTTTTTGGATTATAAATCATCAATTTAAATCTGGTAAGATGGCATGCAGAAATTATACAATTAAAAATATGAAACCGGAATTTATGAAATAAAGAGCAATTATGATCTAAAGGGTATCAAAATTTACAAAAAAAGCTTAATATTTATTTATTTACTTTATTAAACATTTCTTTCAGTGTAAGTTGTTTAAGTTGCTTTATTTTTTGTGCTAATACTTTCTCTTTAATTCTATAAGCAGACATAATTTCTTGTTCATTTACAAAGTTCCACTGTTCAAGTCCTATAATTTGCTGTGTCGAGAATACCGACTAACTTGTCAATCGAAATTTTTTCGTTTTCAATAACCTCTTTGTCACTTTCTATTAGAAGCGCGCATTGGGTAAACACTTTACATGCATTAAATGCGGGTGCGTAAACGCAATACGCGCATGCGCAAGTTTGTGGCTTCGAGATCCGGATTATAGATCATTCCAGATAATGGACATCCGGATTACGGACTTTATACTGTAATTGTAAAAACTTATTAATTAGTGTCATTTAAAGTAGTAATTAAATTCGATCAATTTATGGAGTAGTAATTAAATTGAACTATTACTTTGGATTATATTAGAATGAATTTCATTCAGATAGACAAGAAGCACAAAACACAATCGGATCTCGATAATTGTTGGTGATTTTATTGAGAAGGGAAAATAATCAGACGTTTTCCATGGAATTGGCATAATTAATGTATATTTTTATTTTAAAGTTTTTTCTAGTTGATTAAATATGAGTTAAGTTTTATAATTACAGTAGTTCATACTCTTCATTTTCCAAAGGAATTTCAGAATTCCACTGAATAGAGGCTTATCATTTGAAAAAAGTATTTAGAATTCTTTTGAAATGAATTTAGTCATTAACATATTTAAAAAGAAATAATTTTAAAAAAATGCAACAAATTAAGTAATTATCGTCATTGACCGGAAATTAGTCAACTTTTAAATGGGAATAAACTAACTTCTAATTAATTAACATTGGCTGAGAGTGTAAGTTTGAGAGCTCTGTTATTTTAAAACATTGCAATCTTGAGTGCATACCTTCAGATAACAGTATCTGAAATCTCATTTCAGTTGGTTGAGCAGACAGGCTGTTAAGCATTCATATATTGGGAAAGTTTTTTTAATGACCGCACACTATATATACATATATTTATTATTTAAAAAAAATTTTTTTCTATGATTTCAGTTCTATTTCGTGATTTTAGTTTTACCAAAGCAAGCGGCATATTAAATCACTGCTCACGTGAAATGAAGACTATGTAAAACAGATGATTTCAAGTATGAAAACTCTCTGACACCAAGCACTTTATGTTCAGACCATGTAATATTGCATGATAGTTTACGTGATGCTATGTAATTTTATGCAGGCCTTTATACTTATCTTGTTAGAAGAAGTTTTTTTTGAATCGGCAAGTAAGCTCAGATTAATTTCACATACGATTAAGAAGGAATCTTTGTGTACTCATAATATTAACAAAATATCTCTACAAGATAAGTATGAAATTTATTTAAGTGAAATTGTGTTTTCTGTTGAGGATAATAAATCAGTCTGCTATTGATCAGTGATGACCAATGTGGCATTTGTTGTAATAAGACAGCTATTAACTCTTAACCTAAGCTTTAACAAGAGTTTCGTGCAATTTCATATGTACGCTGCATTAAGCTTTTAACTATTAAATTATATATGTATATATATATAGTATATTTATACATACGGTATGTATATGAGAATGAAGTTGAAAATGAGTCAGTGAATTTATAATTGTTATTTTTATGCTTATATTTTTATTTCTAGTTTTTAAGTTTTGAAAATTTCAGTTTTTTTAATAATAAATTTTCAGTTTCTGCGTAAGTAATTACCTAGTTCAGTGCTGAATTTCATACTTTGAAAATTTGCTTACTTTCCATTCATCTGCTTTCAAACAATTTAAGTACAGCTGCGAAATAATTTTTATAGTGCACTTTTTAATTTTAACAAATTACTATATACATTAATATTTAAAATTATAGGTAAAGCTTTTAATACACTTTGTACTAATGCTTTCATTTCTTGTAGTATTTGATTTTTCAAAAGTTGACTGAGGGTTTTTATGTATGAAAATAATTTAGCCTTCTAATTTTTTTAAGATGCTTGTTATATAGCGGTGGCTCTTGTACTGTAAAGACACCACCATGTAAAATAAGTAACTGTTCACGTTTAACATTATCATGTTCTTGGACTTCATTTCTTCCAGATTTAGAAAGTGTAAGATATTTTAATTTCTTTTCCTTGTCAAAGTCCTCAATATTTATTCGTTCTTCATTGAAGCGAAATATCTTAGGATAGCGCTTGTGACTGAGCAGTCCATCGTAATTTTCAATTAATGGGCCATCAAAATTATCATCCAATATTGGATGTGGTGTCTGTACTTCTTCAGGTGGTGGTAGCCAAGCCCTCTTGATGGATGGAGGTAGAGTTGGAAAAGAGAATCCTGGAAAATTTGGAAAGGGATCTTTATGGTCCTGGAAAAAATCTGGAAACTCGGGAAAGGGTGGAAACTTTGGCAGAGGTGGAAAATCTCCAAAGCTATCAAAATGATGTACAAATGGTTCAAAATTATGTTGATTTTTATGATGTTGAAACATAGCCCGGTATTCAAACCTATGTGGTTCTACTTGTGTGAAGAAAAAACTAGCACCCCTTTTATCATTTTCTCCAGTTTGCTGTGAATGAAATGCACTAGAAGTCTGGGTTGCTTTGCTTATTGTAGGTATTAGTCCTTGATGAGGCTCCTGGGTTGTGGATTTATATTCTTTCACTGAACTAACCAAATCTGTATCAACCCTCTTTGTACTGGCATGAAAGTTTTCATCTCTTTTTGGCAGGTACATGTTGCTTTTCTGTTTGGGGATTGTATTATTACATTTGATGTGCAATCCACAAAGTTCAGTGTGCAGTGGTATTATTTTTCTTAGCGGTTGAATTCTTGCACCGTACTTTAAAGCTCCAAGTGTGTGCTCAACAAAAAGCCAGGCAGTCATAAAAAGCAATATCTTGTAATCCTGAAATTGATACATATTATATCATCAAGAAATCACTATTTAAACTTACAAAAATACTTTGTTAATATAGGACAAAAAAGGATTTCTTTTTTAATATTCAAATTACTCAAATTAGCTTTAAATTATTTAAATTACTTAAATAATTACTTAGATTAATTTTAAAATTGTTTGCTTTAATTCTTCCGTATTCTACAATAATGCTGTTCAAACTGCAAGAGATTATGTCAAAAATGTTTTGCCAAATTATTATGGATTTATAAACGTTTATAAATTTTGCTTTAAATTTAGGAAATGTCCTATTCATATTTTAAAATAGATACTAAAAATTTTATTACTTTATAAGAATTTAAATAATAAGTTAAAATAATAAATAAACAAAATTGATGTTTCTACAACAGTAAGAAAGACATTGTAAGTAACATCTTTTAGTTAATGATTCATGAAAATTTTTTAGTTTATTTAGTAAGACAAAAAATTATTCTAGTCTTTCTTAAAATTTATAGCTCTGGATTTTCATGAGTTAATAATTCAGTGCTAACTTCATTTTTAAATTGAAAAGCATTACATAATGTAGAACTTTATATCATAAAATTTTTATTTTTTGAAGAGGAATTATGACTAAGATTTATTAGAACATTCAATTGATTATTACTATTATTTCAAAATGCAGAATGGTTGGCCAGTGGCTGAATGACTAAAGTTGTGAAACTATGATTCAATTGTAAAGCTGATGAGTGTTTTTAGTTCTTGTGCGATATTAATATGAGCTAGGTTTCTCTGGTTAGACTTCACAAAAACATAAATTATAGTTAACATAGCCTTGCATCCTTTTATCTTGACTAAGTAACCACACAAACTTTGAAATAAATTCTGAACTCCCAGAATTTTGGTATTAATTAAATGTGCATTTTGAAAGTATTGCTCTGAACTGCAGTTTTTTTAAATATCCATTCTGCATTGTTATGTTTTTAAAATGTGTTGCTAGAAACCATTACAGTCCTTAAATTTTTCCACCTGATAAATTGAGATAAATTTAATGTTTGTGTTTTCCACCATTACAAATATTTAAAGTCTAAGAAATAAACCTTCTTTTTAATTTGCTTTAATTTTGATTATAGTTAGAAAGCTACTGAACCTTGTTTTATTTATTTAACAAAAATGCCTTCATTATCTTTAAAAGGTGTTTGCAGAAGGAGATTTAAGAATTTTAATTATAACATACTATAATATATTTTTATGGTATACTAGCATATTAATACTTATAATTAGTGCACCTCTTAGTAGGAAGAAAATATATCAACAGTATAACCATCAAGAAATATTTCAGTTATGTAATTTCAAGTCTTAGAAATGATTGTTCTTGAAATAGTTTCTTGTCCAATAGAGTCAAATCAGTATGGTAATTTTGTTGACTGTGAATCTAATCTGTTAATTAAAAACAGTATCTAGTTAAATTTGTAAGAGATAGGTCATTACAGTAGGCTAATCAGTGATTAAGTAGTTAAACCTGTTGAACGGTGATGGAAATACATTGGCTGTATGGTCTCTGCTAGTGGTCTCGTGCTGAATCTTTGATATTCTTTTTGGGGATTTTTCATTGATTTGTATGTATCTGATGCATATTTCTTTATTTTTAGATACTTTTTGCATTCAATCATATAATTTTAAAATTGATTTGCATTTTTAATGTTTTAACTTATTTCTTTTTTTAAAAGAGTGCACTTACAAAGTAACTTTGAAAACTTAAAACCTTATTCCTTAAAATTGTTTGATTGAATTGTATTGTACATCATTCCTTTATTTGCTGTTAATTTTGTTTTGGTTATGAAATTGAATCTACATGCAGCTGTATTTTCAGTCGTAATACCATAGTCCTTATCAATTATTGTCTCGTAGTATAATTATGATAATAATACGATGATATGATTTTTATATTACATGGGGAGCATGGCAAGATAATGGTCTCATTTTATTAATGAAAAAATGTTAGGAGTTTTTATTGCTTAGGATAAAGATTCTGAATGATTTTTATCCTAAGCAATAAAAACTCCTAATATTGGAGTACTTGTTCAAAAGTATTATCAGTCCTTTCTAAAATAATATTAATGTCAATACTCCTAATTTAATTACAATACATGAAAAATGCTTACCTTGGCAATAATCTAGAGTAATTTTTGCATCAGTAGTCATTGTAATACAGCATGAGAGTCATAAATTGGTATGAATAATTTAAAATTATAAATATCTTTGTGTGTTTTCTCTGTTTATTTTAATTGGAAAATATATCAAAATTCTGTATGTATAATTATTTCGAATAGGTATATAGTCATGAAGGTGAGAAAGAATATTCTTCATCCTAATTTAGTGCAATGTAAAATTAATAGAGTATCCATAGCTTTAGTTAAATTTAAAGTGTGGCCAAAATGATTCTCATCATTGCATAAAAACATTTGGTACTTTCTTATTATAGCGGCCTCAAAGATTGAATCTCTAATCAACCAAGATATCTTGACGAGATCTCACCACGTGCTCTTTTACCTGGCTACGTGTTACATCTCGGTAGATTAGCAATTAAATTTTGGGGGCTGCTGTACAAAAGAAGTAACAAATATTTATTTAATCTTTTAACAGTTTCCTTATATGGTTATTCATTAGCATAGGCAGAATTCTAGTTTCTATACAAATATGTCAGAATAAAATTTACATTCTTAATAGTAAAATAATAATAATAATGAATGAATAAATAAACAAATAAAATGAGAACTATCTCGTATTTTAAATTATAACTGAAAAGCTAAATTACATGTATATAAAAATTAGGATGGAATGTATTGCATATAGATATTATACAAATAAATCAAAGTTATTTGTTTCATAATTGTTGAATCATTACAAGAAAATAGTAAGAAAAATGTCATTTACGCAACAAAATTTGTAATTTTATTGAAATGTGAAGGGTTATAATAAAACTACTTACCTGTAGATAAAGCAGCATATTGTATTTAATAACCAATCCCTATTGGTGCAGAGATGAAGTAATTTCTTGAAACAAGAACCTCATGGTGATTTCGCTGTGCATTCGCGCGAATTCTCTGGCTGGCTCTAAAAAGAAAAAGGAAAAGTGATGGTGTGCAAGTAGTTCCCATCTCATCATCTTCACTTGCGCGCTTCTTCCGGGTTGCCGCATTTGGTTACTTATTGCCTTTTTTTCACATCTTACTTATCGTTTTTATTAATTATTATTATTCCGTGTTTCAAGACGTCTTCGAAAATGTTTTTGTTGTCTGGGTGGATCAGCATCTTCAAAGAATTTCCCACGCCAGAAAACTTTACAATAAAAACTACTTATTTTTTTATTGCATAATAATAATTCATACGCGTTGTTGTACGCCTGCAGTGTCGTCGTATTATTAAATAATCTTTATGTATGCATGTTCCTCGCGTTGCGCAAAAACGGCGGCGCCTAGAGCTACCGAATCTCGAACGCACATGGCCCTGTACCGCCTGTACTCGAACATGCGTACTTGGTAGTCGGAATTTTAAATTCGTTTTTGATTTATTATAGTGTGAATTGAGTAAATTCTTGATTAATGAACTCGGCGACTAAAATCTGCGTGCTGCCACTTTGCAAAGCGTAAAATATTTGTTTCAAATTTATTCATAAAACGGCGATTTAAGAGAAATGCTTTACCACTCGGCATTTGTCATTCAAATTTAATAAAAGAACTCAGCGATTTTTAAAAAAATGTGTTGTCACTGGACGATATAAAATGTTTTCATCTTCTACGTGCCAGTTTCTTGCCATTTGGCCAAGCGTGAGCTAATGAATTCTTTCAAAAGCAATAAATGCAGTTCTTTATTTCTATTATTAATAGTTACTCTAGCTGGATTTATTAAAAACATTATCTATTTTTTTCTTTTTTTATAGGGAATATTTTAGGTAGCTGGCCGCATCAGCGGCTAATTTTCATTGGGAGGGGGGGGAGTTTCTGTGAGGGGATACCAGTAACGATGTGAAAATTGTTCGAAAAGCAGCGACATTCATGTCCTCGCAGAGCTTAATTCCCCCCCCCCTTTGGGAGCTGTTATAAGGCTTGCCAAAAAAATAAAATGGGGGGGGGGAATGAAGCTTCCAGATTTTATATTACTCCCAAAGGGGCTTTCACCCCCATTTAGACATACATAGACGTTTCGAGAGCATTTGAGTTTTTTAATCAAAAATTCGTTAACGTTTAAAAAATATGAAATAGATAATTTTAAAAATTCAAGATTCGGGCTATCAGATGCCCATATTCAGGTGGAAAAGTACGTTATTCAAAATTTGATGGCTATAGGTATCGTTGTTTTTTCACAGTGCCGGAAGCATATATACATTCATATAGATTCTTCATTAGTTTATTTCTTTGTATAAAACACAGGGCTATAATATCTGGTGGCAACAATTTGAAAAGTGATACAGCCGTTTATAGTGATTCGAGGCTACTAGCCTGTTTGGGTTAATAATTTTTTAAAATTTATATTTATACCTTATTTATTATATTTTCTTAATATTTGTGAATAATTTGAATTGTTTTTAAGGTTTATTTTATGCACGGATTTATAAAAGGGTATAAATGATGTTTATTTTTTTAAATGAGGAAAACATAATCGGCAAGAAGTAATGTGCTTAAATGAGATGCAGAATTTTGCACTTTGCTTCCCCCCCGTCCCAACTCCCGCCTACTGTGATGCAATTAAATATGTCTTGATTGCGCTTTTAGAAGACTGAACTTATTATTATTCTGGGCTTCGATTTCCTGTGAGCAGAGAGGGCTGCTATTTATCCATGGAACGCTTTTATTAAATAAGACTTTCGTTAAATAAATTTTGATAAATAAGAGCAAGTTGCTTTTAAGAAGTTCTTCCACAAAGACATTTCTTTGACAACAAGACCTTATCTACTTTGCTGTGAGTAATTTTTTATATTACTTGTACATATAGGAAGATGTGGAAGAATTATGAGAAAGCGGAAAGGAAGGATACTGTTATTTAAAAAGTCCACTGGTATAATTTCTTTTTCATAGAGAGAAATAAGAATTAGGAATGATCAGTTCGGCAAAAGTTCGGGCAAAAGAAAGGAATTTTAGTTCTTATCGACTATTGAGGATCTACTAATCGGTTACTTATCCAGTATTAGATCGAAGGTACCGTGAGATATCGTCCATTTGAACTTTTTATTTATGTATTTATTTATTTTTTAAATGAAATTTAAATAATGGAAACCTTATTTCTATATAAGTTCACGTTTAAAAAAGTCTTAGCGTAATGGATTTCTGTCGTAGAGCAAATTCTGTTTTACGGGAATTCGAATTTTTTGCATTTTCGATGCAACTGACTGACTTCAATCAAGTTTTTTTTTGGGGGGGGGATTTCAGGTATGAAAGCAAAACCAAATTCGATATATTCTGTTAGCTGATGTTGTAAGTTTGTTATTATTATTATTTTTTAAGCCAGTAACAGGAGAAATCAGCTATGTCCTTGCCTCAATTCGAAGTCCGGAGAGCGCCGATAGATCCGGCAAGGGTTTAAGATTCAAGAAAAGTCCAAAAGAACCGATTCGGGGTAAATGATGTTAATAAATGAAAACAAATCGATTTATACGTCTAGTGGATACTAGACATTTGTTTAATAGGGTTTGGTGGACGTTCATGCTGAGGCTGTCTTGTAATTTTTGAACTAAGAAATTCCATTCTTGAATTGGTACTATTTTGTACTTCCCAGCAAATTAGGTGGAGGTTTTATTGCAAGTGTCGGCAGCTAGAGGCTTCCAGTACAGGGTAACTGGGGTTTAAAGTTCAGTAAAACTTTGCCGGTTTCGGACGTGTAATATCGTTGGTTTCCAGGCGTTGCTGAACCAAGGTTGAGCTCTGAAGATAACAGCATTATTATTCCTTATACTGAGCTCAGGCCACAAATTCACTCTTAAAAAGCCTCACATATTTGTACTAGATGACATTCGTGTAAATATCATTAGTTACATTATATTTGCTTATAATGCAGAGGAATGTCTGTGAAGAAATGATGCCATTCCGAAACAAGGACTTCCCTTTCAACGGCACAGCATAGTTATAGCATGCCTTTTGGGATTTGCCAAATGTATTCATGAGTATATTGATAATCACTCTCTAAGCGTAAATGGAATTTGCATATAAACAATACATTTTTATTGTTTATAGTGTTTAAGCTGGATCTTCAATTTATTATCCTCTACGATCTGGCCAACCAGTCTCATTTATCCTTCAATAACCGTTTGGTCTTTCTAGCTACTGGTATAAGGTATTTTTCCCACCTTCTTAGCGAGCCTTCGTGGTGTAGTGGTCAGCACACTCAGCGCGTATTGAGAGATCCGCGGTTCGATTCCCGGCGAAGGCGTTGCTAATTTTTCATCTCTCCGACCTCCAAAAAACTGCTAAAGTAACACTGGTAGTTAAACAGTGTACCTGCTCTGCTGGTTGATTGGAATTGGTTACATATAGCCGCGTACCCCATCTTGTCTCAATGCGTTGACGACCTCGACCTTATTTATTTTCTATTATCTTTACTATTGACTGCGCAAAGTCCTATATAAAGCTGCAAAGTCCTAGATAAAGCTTAGCGGACTATCGAGCACCTGGATCATTTAGATCTGAGTATGATCTAATGATTCAGCCTTGTATTTTTATCGGCAATAATGGGCGCAAAATTTGTTTTCTAATAATGATCTTTCTAGATGAAAAAGCAATAACAGCGCCTTCAAAGCGGTAATGAGTTTTTCATACCTCGATTGTCCGCCTGACATAAATCGGCATTAGAAAAATTTTCTGTTATTAATTTCCAGATTTAAACTTTCATTTCAGGGTGTTGTTATTCGCATTTTATTTCGATATAGCAATGCGTGTAAACATTTCTATTTGTAAAAGAGAAATAAATATACAGTTGTAACTCGGTATACGTCCTGTTTGGATGCAAATTGAAATACGTTAAATTAAAGAATTAATCGTTCAGTAAACGACTACTGTTTAGTAAAACACAACCCGTTCTATAATTCTGAATTTTCTCTTGATTTTTTTTGTGTTTTTCGCCTGTTTTGTGAATTTAACAGTGAGTTTTAAGACGGCTAAGGAGAGGATTAATGCAATGAAGAAAATGATTAGGATAACCATGGAAGTGAAAAAAATATTGTTGAAAAATATGAAAATGCCATGCATATTCAGAACTTGGCTATTGTTTACTTTATGCCGAGAGCGACGGTATCTACAATTATGAAAAGAAGAGAACTGACATTCACATTGTTGTGACACATGGAGAGAAACTTAGTGCTGATAAAGATGCCACCAAAGATTTCATTAAAATGTTTAGGGAATTTGTAAAAGTTGAGAGTTTTGTTCCACAGCAAATTTGTAATTATGACGAAACTGGCCTGTTTTGGAAGAAAATGTACTCAAGAAGAGAAGGCTCTGCCTGGGCACATAATGGACAGTACTCCAGTTCAGGCTCCAAACTTGCAGGATTTTATGCTGCTGGATTTAACTCTTCATTTCTCTAAATACGCAACTACTGTCATTCAGCCAATAGACCAGTAATTTCAAGAAACTCTACGCTAAAGCACTTTTTCAGAAGTGCTTTGACCTCTGGTACAGAATTAACCGTAAGAGAGTTTTAGAAGGATTACTTTACTGTCTTCCATTGCATAACTCTTTTTGACAAAGCATGGCAAGAAATTTTCTACTAAACGATGAACTTTGCTTGGAAAAATTTGCGGCCAGAAAGAATGATCGAAATGGACTTCAAGGCTGTGCTTGTAATTGAAGGTATTGTCTTTTCTCGTAAGTTTGTAAGTCTGAATGTGAGTTATAATGATATGAAGCAGTTTGTAGAGGAACACACATAATTATCCACTGTTGATCTGCAGAAATTTGAAGACGAGTTATTCATTCACCTTTCTTAATCAAGAAAATCGTTTGCAAACGGATTGATGCCCAAAAACTCTGCAGAAAAATACCGTCCCAATGAAGCTCAAACAAATCGTAATAGCATTGTCTGAAATGACCAAATAATGTTACATTTCTGAAATATCCTGAGGAGGATGCAGAAGCAAAGTTCTTTGGACAGATTTTTAATAAAGGCCAGATCTGATGACCCTCAGCCAGGTTCGAGTACCGACCTGATAGAAAAAGGGGATAAATAAATCTGTTAAATTTTCATTTATGTACAATAGTACATATTTTACTCAATGCATTTATCTTTTATTGTTAAATAGTGTTATAATAATGGCAGTAGAGTTTTTTTTTTTGGGGGGGGGGTAAGACGAATTATTATATTCTTTTATATATCATATATATATATATATATATATATTCGTAAATCTTTCGGTGCGGGCCACCAGCGGCCGAGCGTAAAGTCGCTGAACACTGGTAGTTCGGGTCCGAGGTTCGATCCCGCGAACGGGCTGGCTGCTGGGTGTTTCGTGGTTTTCCCCATGTGTA